ATTTATATCTATATTCATATATATATATGTATATATATATATATATATTATAGTATTTTTATCTTCACAATGACGTGGATGACGTGATATAGGCAGATAACATATTATCCTCACGCGACAGGCGTTGATATATATAATTATTTTTCTATTATGAATTCCTAACCTAGATAGGCATTTGACGTACGGCTTGTAGACGCCATATCGTAATCCGAGTCAGGAATGTGCCTCAATTACCACTACACAGACATCTTGATTCCACAAACTGAAGTGCATATCAAAGATTACATGTACACAAGATGCGGACAAACTAGGTGGTATGCACTACATGGACATCGGATAAGCCCTGTGTTGATCGGGGTCACTGAGGTGTATGCACACACTGCCTGACTTGCTATACTATCAGATTATTTGGAATGCTTGCATACAGTTAAATTCTCCCAGCAATACCAGCAACCGATTTCAATTTTCGCAAATGAAGGTAAATACATACTCGTCCATTGATATGTGAGCATAACGATCCGATGTCATAGGATGGAGACGCAGTATAGCTAAGCCAAGCTATTGCGCCAAGCATGACTAATCAAACGAGAGGCACATGTATTGTACTGGTAGACACATCATTGCATGCCAGTTCTCGCCCGATCAGGAGTTGCATAGCAAGTGCGGATCGTTAAATAGTAATAAATACGATCATGGCAATCAGTGCAAAATAAAAGAGCCATAAAGATGGCCGTGATTGTAATTTAAGATTTTGTGGTACAAATCCCAGAGATTTTCGATCCGAAAATAAGACCGCAATACATATGCAGTGGCTGCATTTTATAGCACCACCGTAAATTTGAATCATCTCACACAGCACCATACCTTATAATAAAGTTTGCAAGCCCAAACCCCCAAACTGGTGTGCATTTGTATAGTGCGTTTTTCGTGCTCGTATTTATACACGGAAACTTTTCATTTGAGAACATAGCCTGAGCTCGTATGCATGGCACGTGCTGATACAACCCTATATGCCGTGTTGAATGACTTCTAATTGGTGCATGAGGGTGTGTATAGTATAAGAGTGTAGATAAAAATGGTACGATAAATATAAATCTCTGCTCGTATACTTGACATGTGCTGATATATCCCTCATTTGCCATGTTGAAGGACTCCTAGATGAGTGCATGAGAGGGTGTGTATAGTGTAGTGTGTAGGAAAATAAACCTTTCTTGTACTAGTAATACACGTAACCCTTTCATTTGAGTACTTAGCCAGAGCTCGTATAATTGGCAGGTACTAATACAGCCTTCATATGCCGTGATGAAGGACTTCTAAATGGCGCATGAGAGGGTCTGGACAGTGCGGAGTTCAGATACGAATGTCGAGATGAATATAAAACTTTCTCGTACTAGTAGTACACATAAACCTTTCATTTGATGAGTATATAGCTTGAGCTCGTATGCTTGGCACATGCGGATACATCCCTCATTTGCCATGTTGAATGACTTCTAAATGATGCACGAGGGTGTGCACAGTGTGGCGTATAGATACAAGTGGCGAGATAAATATCAGTTGTTTGAGATGTGCACCTTAGGTGTTAACACCTCAGTGCGGGCAGTTCGCACAGGCCCGTTGATAAATAGTGGTCCGCTACAATCACTACTATTCAACGAGGAAGTGTGACCTTGTAATTTCAGTGTCTTTTATTTCCTTAAAAATTGTCTCCATCATTAGGCGTTGCTACTGTTCTGTGTACATATATTGCCATCGTTGATTATCTCAAAGTTTTATAATTTTATATCGGGTTATTTCATATTTCATTTGTATGGCAGTTCACACAAACCAGCTGATGGCGATCCGCTACAATCGCTACTATTCAACGAGGAAGTAAGACCTTGTCATTTAAAATATATTTCTTTAAGAACTGTCTCCATTCCTAGGGCGCTGCTCTTGTTCTCTGTACATATATTAATATCGTTGATTATCGGAGGTTATATCTTTTCATATCCGCTTATTTCATATTTCATGTGAAAGGCCGTTCACACAGACCCGTTGATAGTGGTCCGCTACAATCGCTACTATTCAACGAGGAAGTGAGACATTGCCATTTAAGAACTGTCTCCATTCCTAGAGCGCTGCTCTCGTTCTGTGTACATATAGTAACTTCGTTCATTATCGGAGGTTATATGACTTCATCTCCGCTAATTTCATATTTCATGTGGGAGGCCATTCACACCGACCCGTTGATAGTGGTCCTCTACAATCGCTACTATTCTACGAGGAAGTGAGACTTTGTCAATTAAAAGATCTTTTATTTCTTAAGAACTGTGTCTCCATTCATTGGGCGCTGCTCTTGTTCGGTGTACATATATTAGCATCATTGATCATTGGAGGTTACAGGGTTTCCTATCCGCTTATTTCATATTTCATTTGTAAGGCAGTTCATACAGACCTCTTGATAGTGGTCAGCTACAGTGAGACATATTGTCGTTTAAATTTTTTTTTATTTCTTTAAGAACTGTCTCTATTCATAGGGCGCTGCTCTTGTTCTCTGTACATGTATTATTACCATCGTTGATTATCGGGAAGTTATATCATTTTCTCCTATCCGCTTATTTTATATTTCATTTGTTTACGGCAATCTATATCATTTCCTATCCGCTTATCTCATAATTCATTTGTAAGGCAGTCTCGGTAGTATCGACCGCTTGTTATTCTGTCGGAGTTGTTTCGTTCATATATACTATTTGTTTCGTGATGGCTGTGTTGTCCATAGCAAGTCATAGTATACATCTATCTCAATAGTAGGGTACGCTATCGGACTTATTTAAAATATATATCATTCCCCGTTGCCCCTTCGGTGACTACGCACTCACCATAGGTCTTTGCAAAATTTCTTGCTTGGATGCCTCCCCCTGGCTGTACTGGTCCTCTTCATTCTTTTCCCCAGTAGTGAATTCGTTTACCACTCTTGTGGTGACTTCATCCTTCTTTTCTGCACTTTTGCGGGGTACCGCAGGCAGTATCTTGGCCGGTATGCGTTTCGCCACTTCAGCAACCGTATGGTTGCGCTGGTGCAATTTAAGTCCACTCTTGGTGGTAAATTGTGCCTCACAATCTTGCCACACACAATAGTGTAGTTTCTTCGTGTTAGTGTGAATTCGGTAGTGTCTGTTCTTGCTCTGGTTGGTGGTGAAGCGCTTCTCACAGCCTGGCCACGTGCATGGGTACGGGCGTTCTCCAGTGTGCGTGATCATGTGCCGTCCGAGATCTCCCATCTGGCCAAAGCGAGAGGTACAGCCTTCCCACGTACAGGCAAATGGCTTCTCGCCAGTGTGCGTGCGCATATGACTCTGCATATGTCCCCGTCTCACAAACCGCTTTCCGCATCCCTTCCACTGACAAGGGTATCTGCGAGAATCCGGGTCCAGGTACAGTCGATTGTCAACTGAGTCCACGCCCGTGGTGGCCATGCGGTGGTGGTCGACTCTCGGTCTGCCTGGGCCAGACAGGTCAATACTAGGTTTGTAAGCAATTGCTCTGTGGAACTCCCGAGCGCTGGCCTTGGGCCGAGACTCGTCCAACAGCTCCACTTCAATCTCTTCGTCCTCGGAGTGGGCCTCAGATTCTGCAATGGGTTTAGACGCCGCGTATAGCTTGCGCTCACGTGCATGTAACACATGGCTGGGTTCTGTGTGTCGGCGTGTGAGCATACACATATTCTCATAGCCGCGTGGCATGGAACGGGGTCCGTATTGTACACTATCCGCTTCGGCCGGCCTTGACCACTCGGCCGATGAACCCATGCGCGTGACTGGTCTGTATTCGTCCTCCAAGGACACGCCACTGTCCCGCTTAGCCATAGCCAGATGCTTAGAGTAGCGTCGATGGGTGTGCTGTTGTGTACGAGGCACTGATGAGTAGGTAGCACTTCGGCTCAGCGAACTAGCGCTTCTTGGCCGAGGCTCAGGGAGTGCAATAAAACCGCTGCCGTCGTATCTGTTGCCATCCTCAGACTTGCCTATTAGGCTGTCAATTGAATGCGATGACATGGACGATTGGGATCCCTGCGTGGGTACATCAGCCCCCTTGTTGGTGTATGATGCTAAGCTGAAGGCACTATCGCGTCGGTACAATGGTACATTGCTGCCCTTTGCGCTGTGGTAAGAATAGCTTCTCACCGTGCGGTTCTTGCTCTCATGCTGTGCTCCTGGTGTGTTCCGGTACTCGTGCACATTCTCAGGGGCCAATACGTTAGCCTTGGTGGACTCTATATCAACTTGCTGGTCAGCATCCAAGCCTGCAGGACTGGCATACGAACTGCGACTATCGCTCCGATGCATGGACGCCGAGGTCAAGTTGGATGTAGATGATCGACCTCGTCGCGTCTCCTTCTTGCTCATCGCATCCGGAGATAGCATGCGATGCTCACTAGCCCTTCTCCTAGCATCTAATGTCATACCCGAAAACTCAATCAGTGGCCCTGACAGGCTGTCAATGGAGTCTGAGCGGCCACGTCTGTACCCAGGAGTGCTGTACACGTGGCTGCGGTGAGATTCCTTTGGCCTGTGTGCAAAAGCACTATAGTCAGACGGCGTGTAAGGCGCTGTCGAGGCTCTCCTGGTGTCCTTATCCTTTGACAGCGATTGTTTGTTGAAGTTCTTACTTAGCGTGCTTCTCGATTTCGCCTGGGCGGGGATGTTGACGGAACCCTCAGACTTCTCTCTGGATTGAATGTTAGAACGCATCGTGCACACTCTAAAGTGCGTTTTGCCCCAGTCATATACCTGTAAGAACCACGAATGTGTATTCAAATTGTATTGATGAGTATTTGCTGGGTGGTGTTTGCCATTGAACGATTCCTATAAATTCATCCAACGCGCAAGACATGTCACAGTGAAAGATCGCATGGTCAAGTGAATATACGTGTGTGCGCAACTCTCGAATCAAACGAAAACCAAATGTATTGACGAGAAAATATACCTGACATTCGCGCGTGCAGTATGTTCTGTTTTCACAAGGACATATGAGGCCGGCCTCATTACCACAAACGACGCAGGGGTAGTATTGTGACATGTTGCCTTTTCCTTCTTAGTATTGTCTCGGGTAGCTGATAGGCTATCCAGACCTGTAGTGGATTCGTTGCTATGTAGTCTGTTCACGTTGTGTACAGACATATACACTATTGTCAAGTAGTGTTTTGCTTTATATACAACCGCCACCCTTCACAACCACCAAGCTGCGCAACAAAAAGCTGGAAAATAAAAGCTCTTCGATAAAACAGAGAGAAAAAGTAACCCATAGCCCCCCCCCCCCCTCCACCCCCCCTCATTGCCGTTCATACAAATATACATCACAAAGAAACTAGAAAAGTAAGAGAGCGGTCGACCACCAGCCACCCGGCCACAGCCCACAGGAGCAATGCGGTGTTTTTAATTTTTGTGCTTTTCCTTTGCCTTGGAATATAATTTTCACTGGCCGAATTCTCACACACGGGTAAAATTGTTTTCTGAAAAATGGTCATATTTTAAAATTGACGGTACAAAATATATATAATGGACAGGGCCAAATATCTGATGACGTAGAGCAGAACATATTTTACCCTATATCCAAACGGTATATATAGTATGTAAAAGTCGAATTAAAGTAGGCCAATTGTCCTAACACAACCCATCCCAATTCGAACAAGAGGTAGGTCGGAATTTCGTAGTGATACTGAGGCACACCACACGGCACGCACGCGATGCTGAAAAATCTGAAAAATCTGAAGAATAGAGAACTGCTGCAGAAGTATGCGCCACAGCTTGGAGGCCGGTTGTTATGAATGCTCCAAGATATTCCATTTCCTGTTTGTGCATCCAATCAGAAAATTATGTAGATCTGCTCATTCCCTTTTTTTAAATCAGAATCATCAGAGTTTAACACACCTGTCGCAAATTCAATTAATGCTGTAAATGGTTGACTGCTCCATTCTATCTTGAGGCCATACATAACCTCCATTGTTTAAAAATGATAGGTTGTCAACGTTACAACAAGCAGACGATGAATTTCAGTATACAACATAAGTATTTAGGCCATTTACAGTAGTTTACCACATCGACCCATAGGTCCGATTTCGAAAATAGGATTTGGCACCCGCGCACTATCATCTTTCTCAAATGACTCGAAGGCTCAAATGACCTCATTGTCCACTATCTCCAATTTTTCTATTTTTAAACCTTATATTTTTGTAAAGAAAAATTGACATGTAACCATATTTGATATTTCGTTCATTTACGACATATTGCAGTTGCATAACTTAAATTTGTTCCATCGTGCTCCCTAAGGCCTAATTCTTGTGTGGACTGTGCCACTGTGGTCTCCCAGACTCTACGTTTATTTTAGGTCCTCTCCCTTTGCTGAAATAGGAAATAGCTACTAGGTAACCAGAGTGCCTGGGGGCTTGGAGTGAGGTTTAAAAAAAAACGTTCTACTTGCAAACAAATCAACGGATAGTGATTTTACTGACTCCTATTTTCTATAGGCCATATAAAATGATCCGGTTGTCGGCTTGCTTTGATGGTTGCCAACCAGCAGCGCGGCTGTGTTGGTTTAGAGTTGCTCGAGCTTTTCCAATCGGCGCAGACTCAAAGCTGCTTGACAACTATTAACATTATTTCGATTATTTTAGATAGCTACTATAAATAGTTTGCCACCACTACCAGCTCTCTCTCTCGACTCTCGAGCAAGAGGGAAGAATATAACAATAAATATTGATAATTTGTCATCATGTCAAGGATCAGCAACATGGGGGTCATGCAGTAAATATCCCGGTTTTATTGTCGTAAATAAATAATTTTATATTTGAGATAGCCCGGCCCATCATAATATAAATCAAGTGTACTATAAACTCTATATACAAATATGGTACAGAATTCTATTGTAGATTAGAAGGGGCGTTGTCAGGTAACTTTTATCAAATGATTCGCACACAAGGCAGGAGTTCAAGTTCAAGAGTTCACACACAAGATGTGTATTTTTTATTTGCAAGCAAGAGACATATATTATTAATTATATGGCTTCATATTCGCGACTACGCATGTCCCCATGACAATTGCTATTGGTGCGATTGTCAGAATCCATACCATTCGTGTATAATCATAACTGTGTCGTCACTGTGTGTTTGCAGATTGACCCCGTATTTTAGCGTTTGTACTACCGTCTACCGATACATATCTAATTTTTTAAATAGTCAACCGACTTGCCGAGTTGCCGTGATTTGTATTCTTTTTTATTCTCTTTGTTATTCTCGCGTTTGGATTCCGAGAGCATAATAGAGCATTATAGCATTATCACAAACGGAAAAGAAGTAGAAGGCAGGTGGTATCTGCACCGTGTGTAATATGTATGCGTAGAAATGAGAAAATTGATTTTCTTACTTTCCCCCGCTTCTATGCAACGCTCTCTAGTTGATTGTGGATAGTGGATACTCCACGACCAAATCGAAAACAACACAAGCTAACAGTTGATATCAACCACATTTAGTCGTATCTGATACCATATTTTCACCATCGTACGCTGCCATATGTTAGTACTGATAGCCCACAACAGTGGTAGTTGTTCTCATTTAAATTGCCCTATTCCTGTGGAAGATCGTAATCATACAGATGCATCCTGAAACTAGCCGCAGCACAGCTACATGCGAAATGGTATTAATTAACCATATCATATAAAACTTCGTCAGTAGCAATGGTAAATAGAAGTTTGATTCGTGACAAGAATGTCCTGGACCTCTGGGGGTCATAGCAGCACCATGATTCAGTTCGTGCGTTCGCCAGCCTCATGAATTTGGTTAGATAAAGTCATAACTGAATCCTTTATGTTATTGGCCTGTTAGCCCGTCTCACTCGCTGTCGATATACCAAAAGGTATCTGCGCATCTCTTTTCAAGCCCAGATATTATATTCTACACTAGGCATAATGAAAATAGCAGCGTATTAAACTCACTTTTCCCTGTAAAATGACAACCGGCGGAATGAATTTGGTATTGTTTTCTGTACCCATTTCGCACATGAAGAACGTTGTTCCAACGGCATAGTATGAGTACTACTGTATATTTTTTATTTCGCACACTTTGTATAAAATAGCTTATGATGCAACTCGTACCCTCTATTACACCTGAGAAAGTAGGCTACTAATACAGGTGCGTATACATATGCAGTCTCATGCACTTTTTCGCGGGATCCTCCGTATTCATTGATATAGTTGAAGATTGCATCCATTTCGAGGCTTGCGTTCATACAGCCTCAGCCTCAGCACAGATACACACCCCACACTCTTCGTTCGCACCAACGAATTAACGAGTACGCGGCCGAGGCTTAACATCTGCCTCCGCCAAACCGTGCAGCAACACCACTGGTTTGTGCACATCAGGCTTGAACGCTGCATGCCCCTGACCCCAATCGTAGCTACACGCATACGCAAAGATAGCCCCGTCAGCACTGAATGCACTGGCTGTTATAGGCGCAATCACGCCGTCCGCAAACTTGTTAGATGTGCTGTATCCCTTGAGTCTCTGTTTCGAGTCCTTGTCCCAGAAATGATATGCGCCGTCCGATCCGGCCGTTGAAAACGTGCCGTACTTCGGATGGAAGCCAATCTCGTTGACTGAGTATATCTTGGCGTGCTGATTGGCCGGCACCGGGCTCTCTCTGTGGCATTTGAACGAAAAGTTATTTTTGGAATCCACTGGTTCGTCGACGAAATGCAGCGCAACACGCCCCTCTATTGACCCGTAAGCAAAGCCTTTAGCCCCCCCTAGATCGGGGAAGCAAGCCACTGTCCGTGTTTGAAACTTGAGATTGCTCTCGATCTGTCGCACGGGTGTTTGTGGGTTTCGCAGATCATAAACCTTGATCCCTCGTTTGGCCGTGGCAATGACTGACAGAACCCCGCTGACGTCAGCGCTGTACACTTTCTGTATCGGAAGAGAGAGTTGGCAAGCAAGGAAGTGATTCATATGTGTAGCCTCTCTCGGAGTAGAACGTCAGAGCCCAGATTCACACACTGGCATGAAATTGAATATGCGTGACTTTAATAGGATTCTGAAACTTTAGTAGAGTGCTCATCAGCAGCTCACAAACTCCACAATCAATGCCATACGTGTAATGCAACTTCGTTATCATACAATCTGTTTGTAACTCATCCAGCGGATCAAGCAGAAGTGAACATATTAATAGTAATGCAAACTTGTATATATATATAAATAAATGAATATATAAATTTATAAATATATATTATATACATTTACATATACCTATATATATATATATATATATATATATATATATATACTATAACACACAC